AATACCCTCTGATTACTCCTGAAAACTGAACTCTGAATTGTGACAAAAGCTCTTTGAGTAGGCTGAGACAAGCAACCACGCCCTGGCCTTTCAATAGTTACCTTCTGTGGCCTAAAATGCATTAGGACAAAGTGAAGTGGAGAGTTGCTGATTGGGCGTTAGAGTCTTCTGACCTAAAATATCCAGGCTGCCTATCTATCCAGACAAACTCACTTTGTGATACAGTTACTGTTTGTTCAGTATTTGTGATATGCCCACAAGTTTGCTGGGCATGCGGTTGTCGCCTCCTTCCTTCCCCCATTTGAAAAAAAAATCCAAAGCCAAATGCAGATATTATTTTAAGATCCAATTCAAGAAATGGTTATTGAGTGCCTGTTATCCATGCAGAACTGATAAATACAGCCCAGCTTTTGCCTGCAAGGAGTCTAGTTTATTTAAAACATAGGCCAATATAATATAATATCCATGTGTACATTTTTACTATTTTGTTTAAATATAATTTAATCGTGTTTAAATAGGTAATAGATGTGAACGTCTGCTTCTTCCCACCGTGGGGTGCTCCGAACGGAGACATAGGGATATATGTTGCTATAAAGGTAGTAAAAGTGCTTCCCCTATACACCGTGATACTGTGATAGTGACAACAATGGTATTAAGAAAAATAAGGGCTGCTACCCTGGGCAAGATTCATTGTCCCACTAAAGCTGGAGGCTCTGGTCAAGCAGCCACAACAGGTACCTGCAGCTGCCTGGCTATGTTAGCTCTGGACTTCTTCTGCCAGCAGGAATAGAGTCTTTTGGTTCCCGCCAGTAAAGGGAAAAATTTTAATTTTTAAGTTTTTTTTTTTTAAGGTTTTTTTTTTTTTTTTTTTTTTGACAGAGAGAGAGACAGTGAGAGAGGGAACACAAGCAGGGGGAGTGGGAGAGGGAGAAGCAGGCTCCCTGCTCACGCGGGGCTCGATCCCAGGACCCTGGGATCATGACCCGAGCTGAAGGCAGATGCTTAACGACTGAGCCACCCAGGCGCCCCTAAATTTTTAAAGTTTAAAGGGGAAAATTAAATCCAGTGTTCCAAACCACCAATGCTATATTAATAAGACAGAAAATTTAAAACTGCAAAAGTAATCTGGGGGACAGTGGAGTGCCGCCATACCAAAATGGGGTACAAAAACCAGCTCTGGCCCCTTAGGCAAATGGTTCACCTCTCTGAACTCTTGTTTTCTTCAGCCTCCCTGGCTGTGGCAGGACCAAGGCACAGAATTATATTAAGCACTTTTCATGTGTTTTGCACAGTGTTTAATAAATAGCGCCTATTATAATTACTTTTCACTACCAAAATAATGCAATGGCTATAGTTCTTACTTATTAAAAAAGTACCAAGGATCAATGGTTGCCACAGTCTCGGCATGAGAAGAGGGGAAGACTACAGAGGGACTGGGAGAATTTTTTGAGGGTGATAAGACTGTTCTATATTTTGATTATGGTGATGGCTACACGAGTGTGTATGTTTGTCGAATCTCATAGAACTGGACACCAACAAGAGCAAATTTTACTTTATGCAAATTATATCACCTTTTTACAAGTACCGACCACAATATTGAGTGTGGTTTTAATTAAAATAGTTTTAATTAAAATAAACCATGTAAACTAATGGGCATTTTAACTTCATTCATTTCTAAAATTAAAAGGAAATCTAAGGCCTATAATGCTACTTCATATTTTCAGACCAAGTCTTTAAATTAAAGGCTTGAGCTACTTGTAAAAAATGGATGTCGCCTAAACAATTAAGCAAATTAACTGTTTCAAAAGAAAGCGTGGATTGTACCGAATGGTGTGATGAAATGAAGTATGGAAAGAGAAAATGAAAGTGATGTTTTCATTTACTAGATTACTTAAGATGACAAATATAATGGCTCCTTCCCTCAAAGGTAATGGGCCTTTGTGAATAATCTAAAAGGGGTAACATGATTTCCAATAAGCAAGGAAAAGTAGAAAGGCTGGTGATGAATTCCATGATTTATTTATCTTCTCAATGTATTTATAAAAGATTCTATAGGGCTGCTCACTCTGAATTTTTCATCAACACTGTTACCATAACCAAGAACTCTTTTAGTACAGATCTGTGCATCTATTTTGGCAGAAAATGTAGTTTTACAACAATTTCTTACTCAACACCATATTTACAAAACAGATGGAGTTCCAAAGAAATCATTTCAAATGAGAAATATAATTCTGGTCAGCCTACAGTGTATTTCTGCATATGTCCTGCATCTCAGCAATAACCTTTCTGTGCCCATTGCTCATCACATGTGGGCTGTTATTTCTCCCTCTGACTTGGGGATCCCCACATAAGAGGAAGGTCAAGATGGTAATGAAAATGGAAGCTAGGAAACAGGCATAGCTCACAAGCCTGACATTTCAACTAAAGCAACCCCATCAATACTGGCTAACAACTCCCTGCCATGCCCTCAAGCCTCCAATTACCACCTTGCTTATCCATCTACTCCCGCCTCTATCTTTCCATCACCTGACTGAATTCATCCCTTATATTGGAAAAGAACATAAGGAAACCAGGGAAAGATGTCACTAGTGCTTTTAACATGAGCTTCTGTTAACTTTTTTTTTTACTATTTTTTAACAAAAGTGAAATAATTTCTGCCATTCATGTGACAAAAATGTGCACTATTCATTGCTTTATGAAATTTGACATTAAAGATCTCTTTATTCTATCAGAATATTGTCTTCATACTGTTATGTCTGTAGAAAATACCACACTAAGTTTCTAAAATCCTGATCCTTCAAGGCACCAATTCAAGGGGAAATATACCAAGTTAATTACCTAAGTATAGCATACCCCTTTCTATAACCCAGGCTTGATCAACTTTCAACTATATTTCCATGGTTTCAAAGGGTGTTTAAGAAAATACACATCAACACAAAGGAAAGAAAAAGAAGTAAATCAAGTCATCTTAGGAGGTATAAGAAAATGAACAAGATATGAGACTAATAAATACCAAACCACCAATTTTAGAAATTAACAGAACTTAGAGAAAACATGTACTTCTTTCTCATGCCTCCATTCATTCAGGAGCAATCTATTGAGCCCCTACTATGTTCCTGGCAATGTGTATCCAGGGATACAACTCTGAACAAGAAACCACCTGCCTTCATTAGAAAAAAGAAAAATGACAAAGATATCTTTCAAAGTTTCAAAATTCAAAAACCAGTGATTGCTGAATAATTGATTTCCCCATGTGCTTCTAGAATCTTCAATGAAGAAATCTACCAACAAGGTCTCAATTCCACATATCAGAAATATTGGCAAATCATCCTTCTTCCCATGCTGAATATAAAATTAAAACAGCTGTTTTAATTAAATAAGTTACACTGTGGATCCTACTATGGACACCAATAAACCTCGATTTAAAAAAAAAGAGTGCAAAAACAGGCCCTTCATAAAAACTGGGTAATAAAATTAAAATTAGGTATGCTGGTATCTTCTCTGGAATTTTCACCTCAAATTCATTAACACCACAATGTGGTATCACTACAAGTATCTGGTAGTCAATAAAAACAGACATGACACATAACTCTGTTAACAGGATTGATTATCATGCATAGCTGAAAGCAACTTCCATGGAAACATAAGCTACAGAGTACAAGAAAATATAAGTCACCCTTTAAAAGCCAGGTATGCAGCAAAAATAGGTTGCTCTCCTTAAACTCTCAACGCCTACTGAAGGTAGTTAATACACTTGATCTTTAAGCCCTTCACTTGTGCCCTTGCCCAGACATAAACTGTACAAACAGATGACAAAGCGAAAAGCAGTTTCACAACTGCCTGTTACAGAGAGTAGGAAGGTGGTATATTTCACTAGATTACTGCAGAAGCTGATAACACCATGAGACACTACAGAGTACTTAGAAGATTTCTGAAGGTCCGATTAAACTTCAAATACCACCAGTGTCAATTCTCTTTACTGTGGCCTGTTTTGCCCTTTCTCCCACGGGTTATCAGCCACAGGAAGGGTGGGTGCAGTCCTGTTAATGTGCTTTGCTGCTCACTGTCCTGGTAACCCCTTGATTTTCAGAAAGCAATGTCTTCGTATTTGTTCTGAACTTAAGCAGAATGAGCTACTCTTGCCTAAGGCTCTGCTCTTCTTAGCTCATCAACTATTTTTGTTTTCACTCCATGTCACGAGAAATATTTTTACATTGCAGACCAAAACGTAGTATTAGAATGAAACCACCACAAACTCAGAGGAGTTCCTAATATTACTTCTTGAGTTTAAAATGCACAAAACAATTGCTGACTTTCTTCGGCCAAGTAACACTATGCAAAAGATAGCAAAACCAAGCAAACTGCTCAAAAGAACTTCCACAGAACTGGGGGCCTGCCTACTGCAGCAAGGAAAAGATTAAATTGTGCAGAACTGTAATGTCTCAGTGCTTTTGAGCCTAAGAAAGCGGAAATCTTCATTTATGTTCAGAAACATACTCCATTCCCCCGTGTGACTGAGTGACCAGAGATTTTGCACCCTCTAAGTATAACCATTTGCTAGAGGCAACTAGATACAGATCAGAAGAAACCTATTAAATAAGCTCTGTTCACCACATGTTTTCACAAAACCAGTGTCTTTAACATACAATAGACACCTTACAGGGAGTCTGTTACCAGCCAAGCCTACCCCAGAAGAGCATGTCCTGCCCAACCAGGTACAGGCCATAATTCCAGGCCAGTCCTGGGAAAGATGACAGCCCCAAGTTCAACTGGGAATGTCTGAGCACAGCTTCCCCCTGCACAGTAGGGATCACCTCTCATTCTTTCCAAATGCCATTTGCATTCAATGCCTGCTGCAGCACCCCAAGCACCCGTGCACCAGTGGTTCCCGTTAGCAGGGGACTCCTCTTACAACCCGCTCCTTCCTCCACCACTCCCCTCTTGGGAACTGACCCCAGGGGCGGCGGGGGGTGGGCGATGAGCGCCCTTCTCCCACCTACCTTGATGATGCTGCTCCGGCGGGGCAGGCCGCCGGGTTTGCTTTCCCGGGGGAAGGGGCAGGCGGCCGGGCTGGGGGTCGGGGCGATCGCAGCGCCGTGGAGTCCCCCGGCGGGGCTGGCTCGGGCTTCGTCCCCGGACACGCCGAGGCTGCAGTCTCCGTTGGAAACCCCGCCGCTGTCATAGCGCGCCCGCCCGTGGCCGAGGCGACCTCCCCCGCCGCCGCTGCTGCCGCCGCCGCCGCCTTCCCCGGCTCCAGCTTTCAGGGCGCCCTTGGAGCCGAGGGCCGGACCCGGGGAGGTGGGCAGGGCCCCGCCGGCGGCGCCCCCCCGGCCGCACTCCGCCATGGGCGCCCCACGACCCGCCAGCACAAAGCCGCGTCCCCGCGTCCCCGCGTCCCCGCCGCCGCCTCGGGCCGCCGCGCGCGGCCCCTCCTCCTCTCCTCCTCCCGCCGCCGCCTCCTCGGCCGCTTCTTCCGCTTTTTTTTTTTTTTTTTTTAATTTAGATGTGTTTGTTTCGAGCTCGCGTCGCACACGGTTCAAGTCGTGGCGGCAGAATTATCGGAAGATTCCTGCAGGGGAGAGAAGAGAGAGACACAAGTCAGCTCCGGCGGCGGCGGCGGCGGGGCCCGGGCTCCCAGTACCTGGGGAAGGAAAACACGCCCCGGCACACGCGCCGCCGCGGGCGCCAAAAATAACCCGCGCGGGCCGGGCGCCCACCAGGCCACGGGGCACCCACCCCGAGGTAACGCGGCGGCCGCCTCAGGGCCTCGGGGCGCTCTCCCGGGAGACTCAGAGCACCCCCGACCCCGGGAATCCGAGCGCCCATCACGCGGGAACCCGGCGCCCAGCCCGCGCCGGGGTGCCCACCTCGGGCTCAGGGCGAAGGGAAGCGGCGGGCGCCTGCGGCTCTGCGGCCTCGCGGAGGCGCCTCCCGAGGGTCTTGCGGCCTCAGGCGGGCGGGAGGTGAAGCCGGGTCTCCCTGGACCCCACCTCCCCAGAGGCCGTCGCGTGCCGAGCCCCGCCGCGTCCCCCCAGAATCCCCGCGGAGGCCTGCGGCACCGAGAGGAAGCGCACAGCGGGCAGGGGCCGCTGGGCTGTGAGAGTGGCGGCGCGGCCCGGGGCAGCGCCTGAAGAGGGCCGCCCAGAACCCCCGCCCCTCGCCCGCGGCGGTCTCCGCCGAGCTCGGCGCTGCCCGCTGTAGGCCGCGGGGACCCTCCCCGGCCGCCCCCGACCCACCGCGAGCCGCCCGGGCTCCCACCCGAGGTCGCCGCCGTCGTGGCTGCTCCCGCCGAGGCCGGGTCAGGGGGCCGCGGGAACCTCGCTGCCAGCGAGCGGACGACAACCGGCGGCGGCCGCGGGTCCTGGCTACCCCGGTTCCCCTAAAGCTGCCGCAACTGCCAATCACCCGCCCGGCGCCCGAGGGGCAACGACCGCGCAGGCCGCGGGGTCGGGAGCGTCTGGGGCTCGGGGGCTCGGCCTCTGCGCCTCCCTGCTGCTCCCGGCCCGCGCGCGGGACTCGCTCGCCTCCCACCCAGCTCGGGAAAAGGCCCTCCGGACGTTCCCCTCTGGGCTTCCCCAGTGGGCCAGACCTATTTCACATACAGAAACCAATTCCGTTCCCCGGGCTCCTGAACTGTGAATTGATTCAACTGGTTGCAAGGATGCTGGAACGCGGGCGGGGCCGGGGGCTGGGGGGGCGAGAGGTGAAGAGTAGAGGACCTCAGCAGAGCCTGTTCTGTGCCCTCCGAGTCGCCCTACAGAGATTTATCTCCGTCGTGCCTCCCTCCCAGTGTCCTTCCTGATCCCGCCGCCAGGGACGCGGGCTCATGTAGCCCGCTGCCGGTCCCCGCCTTAGGTCAGGCTCATCTTCTGGGGCAGGATCCTACTAGGATCACAGCAGCCAGTCCCTCTTCTCTCTGGTCCTTTCCCCTTCTTCTCCTCCCCTAATGCTTCAGGTAGAGTGACCTGCCTAAAAATCAGCCCTGATCTTGCCGCTCTCCAGCACAAGTATCTCCCCAGGATCTCCATCCCCCGAGGCAGACGGGCTCCAACTCCGCTGGGTGGTACCCGAGGCCCCACCCAGCCTGGCCCCTCCCACCTCATCCCAGGTTCCCCAGCCTCCAGCCTCCAGCGCTTCTCCAGGACCCCAGTTCTAGTCCAGCTCGTGTGTTTCCTTTTCCGAGAATGCACTTCCCAAGGGCACAAAGGATAGTCCACTGGGGGATGAACTTAAAGACTTTGCTTTCATTAGCATGACGTTGTAGCAAACTGCCAAGTAGCCTCTGAGGAAATGGGATTTACATACATATACATACCCACCCTCGCCTCTGAAGCAACTTCAAATACCTTCATGTTATTCTTGGGGGCGTTTTAATTCTTCTGATCTTCTGGATTCATGTTTTTGTAACCCATCAGAAAAGCTTTTATTCATCTCTAGCCAATCTGGGCCTACACACTAACAAATATTTTCACATCGATGGACCACAATGTTTTAATATTTTATTCAATCCCATCCTTTTTTTTTTTTTTCTTTCTAGTTTTGGTTCAAAAAATTTTTTTTCTGTCATGATAGTTTTGCAAGAAAATATTATTCAAATAATTCAAATCAGGTTCTTAATCTACTTTATATCAAATATCGTCAGAGTAGCCAGTGAAAGAATATGCTGAGGGGGAAGAAAGGAAAAATCCTGGACCTTTATTCTTCACATTCTCTAATTTTGATATTTTGAGTTAATTGCCTGAAGGTCTCTCTGCCCTTTCCTGCATTTACCAATCACTAGTAACATGCTATGAGACTCCTATATCTTGGCAACTTGTACCATGAGTTTCCCCTGGTGAGTGGGGGAACAAGTACAGATTTAAACCTCCAGGATGTTTTTTATAAAACCACCATCTAATTCACCTAATGCTCTCCAAAATGAGCACCTATCCATCTCACTCTGGACTCCCAGCAGGTCAAACCAGGGAGACTTCGTTGAAATAGGCTTGGCATTTAAATTAAAACGTTTCCCAAAGCATCTTGGCAGACCTGTAACTAGAGATGCCAGAAGCCCAAGGCTTGTGCCAGGTTCCTTTTTATCCCCCTAAGTGCTTGTCTCCCACAAGCTGCTGGTCACACGCCTGCTGATGTTATAGCTGTACTTCATCACACCAACAGCCAGACTGTAGGTACCATTTCTTCTATATGGTGATGGGAAGCAGCATGTTCCTCTGACATGTGCGCTTCTCAGCTCCCAACAGGCTTTTTGATAGCTAAACTCAGATTTTTTTTTTCATCACAAACAGCATAGTAAGCAATTTTCTCCTCCTTCCTGCTTGTCTCTCTGCAGTTACTAAGTGATTGCTTTCCATTTCTCCTATTCCATGAGCACTGTTATTGAAGAAATTGTAAATATTTTGCCAAAATCTTGCGGAAGTGTTTTCATGGCATTGTAAAATTCATAGAAGTTAGAGTTAGAAATAAGAGCCAAAATATCATAGTCATTCCTCAGCAAATCCTAATGATTCCTTCAGACAAATTTTCAGAGCGGGGCAATAAGAGATAGGCAAGACCCGAATAAAATGCTCATTCTGGATAACTCCCTGGTGCTCATGCCAATTTATTATATCAATATACACATGGTTAGATGTTCATGAGTAATTTTTCTGTAAGGTTTAAAGCCAATAAATACCTTTAAACTCTCATTATCCTCTTATGCAATACATTACTTTACAAAGCAATACATAGCTTTATTTAAGTTTTCTTCATATTTCAGTACATCTCAGCTTTTAATCGTCGTTGTCACCCTTACCAATCTATCTTCTATTTGTTTGTCTCTTTAATTTGATGCCTAGAACATAAGCTATTCAGGCTCCCTGGTCCATAACAACCTTCCTTCAGCCTCCCAAAATAACACTGACGCTGTTTACTGACTTCTTGTCGTCATTTATACCCTTGTAGGTTATGAATTCATATCTAGTTTCCAGTTCGCAGGCTCTAACATTACAACTCTCTAAATTTTTCTGACTCACTGAGCACTTGGCCTTCAGATTATTTTTTCCCCTCAATGTATTATAACAATTTTCATTTCCCAAATCTCAGTCTCATTTATTTCTGTATTTCTCCAAAGACGCAGTTCAACCTCTGAGCCTTCATATTCAACTGCTCCCCATATGCTTAATACGAGAGCTTAAGTAGAGCAGAAAGTAGAAGAGCAAAATGCCTTAAGGAAATACCAGATTATATCAATGTACTGGTCAACACTGGCTACCCATTTGCCTCCTGAGTTAATCCAAGATGTTGATTTTAATCTAGTATGCTCCTAAGGCTTGGATTACGTTTATTTTATCATGATCCTTAACGAGAGATATGTAGCGACTGCTTTTCTTCCTGAGCACCAAAGAGGCAAGTTAGACCTGCCAAAACTTTCATTTTCATACTCTTCCTCTCCTCTGACACTAAAGATCCTTCACCCATTTTCCTTAGCTCCACCTTCTACAAGTATATATGGCTGCCAAGAAGCTGGGCACTCAGGGAATTACATCGACACTTTCCAGCCACTGAGGAACCACTGAGGAACAATTCATTAAATTGTCCTCAGTGGCTATTGAGCTGGGTAGCACTTTGAGGGAATCTATTAATTACTGAGGATTTGATAAGATTATCCCATCAACAAAAGTAACAATATTATTTGCTCTAAAATTACCATTGCCGGGGATGCCTGGGTGGCTCAGATGGTTACGCGTCTGCCTTCAGCTCAGGTCATGATCCCAGGGTCCTGGCATTGAGCCCCACAACGGGCTCCCTGGTGGGGAGCCTGCTGTTCCCTCTCCCTCTGCTGCTCCCTCCTGCTTGTGCTCTCTCACTCTCTCTGTCAAATAAATAAATAAAATCTTTAAAATAAAATAAAATAAAAATTACCATTGCTTTTCATGCTACTTTTGTAAGCTTGCATGTATTTGAATGTATTTCTATTCTTATTTTATTACAGGAATCACCACAAACTCAAATGCCCATAAGGAGCCAGGTGGATAATGTAATGAGTAAAGCTGGAAGAATTTGTTTCATAATAGCATCACAACTTTTAGTTTTTCATCAGTGACATGTTTGCATATCGAGAACAGAGAAATACTCTTCCTGATTCATCTTTGTTTTTCTAGTTTTAAAAGAGCCTTGGATATAAGAAATATTTCTCTTTCCTCCTAACTCTAAGAAAGATAGTGTGAACTTAATGGTAAATAGCAACTGACACTCAGCCAGGTGTGGGACAACAATATGGAGTGATAGGGACTCAGATAACCTGGTAAGCAATCTTACTGTTGCCATAAGGTAGTCCTGGCCCAATGTTGCCAGGATCATCTTACTTTTCCAGAGAAGCCAAAAATCTGGAATATAAAATTAGCTTTGTGTTAGTTCATTCTCTTAAGAGAAGGACACCCATGAAGTGAGGTCTCCCTCTATTGTTCTTTATAAGTCTACAGAGAAGTCTATTTTTTTCCTCTCCTACCTCCTAACTATATGATGAGCAAAATGTAGCCAATGTCTTCCACATTTTGCCTATTTGGGGGTCTTGTCAAAATGATTTTCAAGGATAGCTTTATTTTAATGAGTTTAAGAAATCTAAGAAACCATATCATTTTCAGCATCCCAATGTGTGATGTATGGCTCCCAACTTACTTCCCTTCATCTACCCATGCCCACCTCCCAATCCCAGAACTACTTCATCTCTGAACTCTGAAACTCAGAAACCCATTGTCTAGCCAAAAACTGCCCTTCTATCAGTCCCTTTCCTTTACTTCCCCACCTGCTAGCCTTAGCAAAACATGGGCTTCCTCCATCCACCCCCTCCCACTCTCTCGGTCCATCAGTGCTCTTTTCTATGTTTTCCTTCCCTTCCCTGGGCCTCAGGACCAAGACATTCAACTATATTCCCATCAGCATCCTAGGCCCTTCACATCACTGTCCTATTGTGCCCATCTTGTCAATCTACAGTTTTGTATACATCCAACCATACATGCCCCCAGGCTGCCACTCTGCTAGAGAGAAAAAAAAAAATCCTATAACCATGCTGACTGGATGAGTGTATGATTTATGTGTTCAGTGGGGCCTTTGGTGCTCTGAGGCAATATTTTACTCTTTCCTAATTGGCTGTAAGTTTCCATTCTCCAAACTCTCCCAGCTGGCCCACTGACCCCCATGCCATCTCAGCAATAGTCCTAGAAATTTTATTTCACACACACAATAAAATACATCAGAAAATAATTTGCTTTAGGGCGCCTGGGTGGCTCAGATGGTTAAGCGTCTGCCTTCGGCTCAGGTCATGATCCCAGGGTCCTGGGATCGAGTCCCGCATCGGGCTCTCTGCTCCTTGGGAGCCTGCTTCTCCCTCTGCCTCTCTCTCTCTCTGTCTCTCATGAATAAATAAAAATCTTAAAAAAAAATTTTTTTTTAATAAAAAAGAAAAAAGAAAATAATTTGCTTTAACTTCCCCTCCATGCTATTTATCCTTACCTCACCCATTACCCCTGCATCTTAAGCTAACCCCAAATCAGAAACCATGTATGACTGTCTTTTTTGATCATTGGACTCTTCTGTTCTGATGTGTCTTTTTCTTTTGGGACCAAAGGATTTCATAACCCTTCTTTGGGTGAAGGGGAAGTGGGGTCTTCAATCTCAGTGTCAATCAAACAAGGACAAAAATCAAGGGTTTTAAAGGCAGCCTTAGATCAAAGAGAGAAGAAATTTCCTCCTCCTGGGCCACCTTCTCCTCATGGGCCTG